CTGTCTAACACTAGAACTAGCATAAGAATGGACAATAAGACAACTATTGCAACTTGCATCTCATAGCCATGCTCCAACCTCTATCAAAATCACATTTTCTTGCAGAAAAACAGAGTTAAACACTGGTTTAAGTCCCTTCTTGACTTATCCCAATGTGCAGACCTGCCATCTAATTACTTGTAGTAACTTCTTCACTTGCAATAAAGCATTGAGGTAAATTCAAAACTCATCATTTCATATGATAAAAATCAGAATATATACACTAAGAAAGAATATTATTGTTTCATAAGAGCTTTCAAAAAAGAAAGTATATCAGTGCATGAAGCATTTGTCATAATGCTGATTTCTGTGATGCATAAAGAAGGAAAACGATATAAGGAGTCAAAATGGCAGAAGTAAAATGCATGAATGATTTAAATTTCTACCTAAATGCTGATTATCCATGATAATACAAATTGTGGGAAAAGGAGGGTCAGCATGGCTAGAACTATATGAAAGCGTGCCACAGTGGAATCTAAGTGCCGTACTTGATAGTCTCTTGCCCAGAGATTCAAGAACATATTAAATTTTAGGAAGAATATTATGATAACAGGAGCCATCATAAGAAATTCAACAGGATCTAGAAATCTATAAGATCTGCCATAACTGCAAGGTGTTATTTTGGCAGCATATCACTGGAAAACAAAGTAGAAGTCATAGCGATCTCATACCAAATGAACCATGTATTTTGCTCAAATTAGCACAACAACAATGCAAAGTGAAGAAATGGAACACATAGATCAAGTCACGGAGGTAGGCAGAGGTAACCCGAGCTAGAATATCAGTATCCACCAAAATGAACATATAAAACATGATTCTCTGTGCTTTCATCAGATAATGGAACAAGGAAAAAAGTTAAGTGCTATAGTGTACCTCTTCTATGAAGTAACGAACTTGATCTTGCCATAAATCAATAGAGTAGACAAGCTCGCTTGCCCATGGTTCAGATTTCTCTCCAAAACCCCACAACACATCTTTCGTGTCTGACACACCTTCTTCCTCATTACGAGGGGCAGGGTCTTCAAATGGCAATGACCTACCCTGCCCGAGGAAATCAATTGCCCATACTCTAAAATCAAGCCCCAGATCCTTCAGTTGCTTCTCATAGTGAAAGGAACCAACCCCAAAACCAGGCAGAAGCAGCACTGGAGGGGAGCCTAAGTTTTCACATCCAGCTTTCTCATAATGCACATTGAATTTGGGCTTCCATTCCCAAAAGCAACTACTTACTGTGGCACCCGATTCGCCTTTGGATTCATCTGGTAGACCAGGAATCAAAACTTTAGTTCCTGGTTCCCCTGTTTCTGAAATACTTGCATCCTCTTCCCCTCCAATTACATAGCCATCAGAGCTTCCATTTGATAAAATTTGACCAACATGTTTGAAGTTTTCACTGGTGTTTAATGACCTAAAACCTCCTTGGTGATTTAGTTGCTTCAAGAAAGCCTGATCTAAATTGTAACAGCTCAAAAACTTCCTTCTGACATCAAATTTAGCACCGAAAACTCTGTTTTTTCTAAAACCTGGGAGACTGAATTGATGTGAATTCGTGCTTTTCACAATCAATTTCCACCTTAAATTAACAGCATCACAGCATGGTGCAGAACTGTATGAGAGTACTTCCATACCCACAAACTGAATTCTGCAATGATCAATCAAAACAATGATTCAGCAACAATTTCACTTTACCCTTTATTGCATGAGACGAATTGAGTAAATGAAAAAGAATAATTTTCAAATCACATGTTGTATGTAACTTTCATCTCATGCTTCCAAATTTTCCCCAACACAAAAAAAGAAAAAGAAAAAAAAAGCCGCAACTGATATGAACAGAACTTAATATCAATTACCAATCCTGAACTTCAGTTAACTTGAGAAAAAAGATTAAACAAAATTAGCAACCAGTAGCTTTACTGCACAACTCTAAAAGAAACACACAGATTTATGGCAAAAGAAGAACTATGGAAAAACTGATTTCTTTATTGTTTTGGGTTACCTCTAAAGTGAGCAGCGAAGTATCATTAGAGTTGCGATGCTTTGTGGAATGCTCAGTCTTCCCCAAGTATTTAGGAGATGCTTCCAAAATCAAGAGAGAGAGAGAGAGAGAGAGGAGAGAGAGAGAGAGAGAGAGAGTTTGGCAGTTGATTACACGCTTCTTCTTGCTTTAATAACCAAGGAAAAAAAACGAACTTTTAAACTTGTGTTTTATATCCTTTTGCTAAATATCAATCAACCGACCAAAAACACGACAAAACATTACTTGAGACTTGCACGCTGTCAAGGTCTTGTACCAAGCGTTTTGCTAATTTTTTTTTAATTTTTTTTACGTTTCTCACCTCATACTGTTTCTAATAATTCCAAGTCCAAATGATGCGGTTCTCATTTTAGAATGATAATTTCTAGTCCTAGTTATTTGATATACTGGTATTCAATCTTTAACTTGTTGTGACCAACGTGAATTCGATATCAAAATTTTAAAATGCCTATGGATAATAAAAGTATTTCTCTAGTAGGTGCTTCTTCAAAAGCACTTATGTTTCGACTTTTGCTAATAAAAAACAGTTCTAAATAAGCCCTTAATAATTTAAAACAAAATAAGTTTTGTACGAATAAATAGATATTGACTTTAGAGAATATGAATGCCCTTGTACCAAATGTTAATCGGCTCAAATTATATTGAGCAAGAATTCAAGAAATTGAAGCTTTATAAAGGCAAAATTGGCTCAACTAGATTCTTCGGAGCTGGGCTTGTCTGCAACCGAGATTAGATTCTACCTGCTGCACTTGGGCGGCAGCCTCAATCAGTTATGTTTCAGTGGGCCACATTGGAAGGTTATTTCAGAAGATCCAAGGTTTTAATTGCTTGTATGATGAATTGGCACATGGAACCGTAAACACGTGTCTGGGTGTAGCGCAGATGGGACCAGTCACTTGCAGTGGAGTGGAAACAGAAATAAGCCACCTCTTTACGGAAATGGGATGGAGCTATCCTGCGTTGTATTGCTTCACACGTTAATGCTTGAAAATTGTGTGTTCAACGTTGTCTTCATGTTGGACGAAGAAAACGAAACGATTGCGATTATGTTTTGAAATTATTATTCAAAATATGACGTATTATATATCAAGTATTATCTCCCATAATGGAAATGTATAATAAACCCTATTTCTAGCATAAGAATAAAATTGGGTGTAGTATTCTAATACGAGGTTACCATAGTGGTTGTGTCCCTCCTTCTCCCCTCCTACTTGGCACTCAGACCCTAAACCCCAAGTTGTCTTTCATCCCATCCCTAAATTGTAATTTGTAATAACTGTATGTAAAAAACAAAAAACAAAACAAAACAAAAAACAAAAAAAGAAGAGTGATGCTACACTTACCACATTTGTATACCACATTCTCATACCACCTTACGTGGCAGATGAAGTGGACAACCACATCAATTAAAAAGTGTCAATAGATCATAAAAGAAAAGAAAATGTTAAATTAATTTAATTAATGTCGTTGTCCACATCATCTGCCATATAAGGTGGTATGAGAATGTGATATACAAATGTGGTAAAAGTAGCATTATTCAAAAAAGAAGTGTGTATAGTATAGGGTTTTCTTGTCACTTGAAATTTCATTCATAGAGAGAAATCGGATACAAAGCCCCTAAAAAGGCAAGGCACAACAAAGACGAAAGCCCAAAAATGGCCCACACCAAAACAAAGCCCCAAACCAGCAAACCCTAACAGCAAACAGAAACCACAACCGTCGTCATCAACTCCACATCTGAGCGGATAGGAGAAACAACAGCAAGAGGATGCCAAAGAAACAAACCACCATCACAACACCACAAACAGGAGCCAAATAAACCAAAACAAGAAACTGAATGTTAGGTTAAACAAGAGGATCTCCTAATTAACTGAATGTTGCTCATACTATAACATCGTATTTATGAGTACTTAATTTGAAAAAAAAAAGACCCCTAAATTAATCAACTTACCAATTTTCAAATGCTACACTTTGTGTACTTCAGTTTGCAAAAAGTGCAATTATTATTATTTATTTATATAATAATCAATATTGGGGGAAGGGGGAGTCGAACCTAGGACCTCGGTGCAATGGTAAATGCTCTTAACCACTTGAGCTACAAACCCTTGAGAAAAGTGCATATTATTAAAAGTAAAGAACAGAACTAAATAAGTCAACAGGGAACCAAAACATTAACAAATTAATATGCATGAACAGTCAAGGAAAATAAATCATAAAACAATAAGTTTTCTTAAATATATAATATGTAATTCAATTACAATAACTTTCATCCAACAAGATCTCTTATTAGAACGATGAACTTTAAACGAACATCACGAATATTTCATCCATTAGTAGGCACTTCAAATCGGCAAACAGGACAATTGTGACTTTGTTTGAGTTTGAGCCATGTCACTTTGCACTTTTCATGAAACAAATGTGAGCAAGGCATGCAAGAGATTTCTGATCCTCCATTAAACTCTTCCATGCAAACAGCACAACTATCACTTTCACTTGCACAAATTTGCCTTCTTTTCTCTCTCAACGCCCCTCTTCCTCATCATCATCCTCCTCCTCATCCCCATCACCCATTCTAACCATCTTTAGAACCTTCTCAATCGCTGAATCGCTCGCCGAGACCATGCCCTCATTAATAACATTGCTCATTAATATTCTTTCTATTAGTTGTTAGAGAGATCCTAGCTTAATTAAGAGATTTAGGCCCCATTTGTGATTGCTTTTTTTCTCTAAAAATCCGCTTCACTTTAAAGTTAAGCAGTTTAAGGCGCTCGGTAAAAATAAAATATCCTGATTATTTTAAAAGCAATGGCTTTTTGACAGCAGCTTTTAAAAGCAGGCTCTTGGTTGCTTTTCAAAGCTGCTTTCAAAAGAAGCAGAGATGAACATTTAAAGAATTTTTTTAATTCCCAAAATACCATAATTCATTTTAAAAAATGACACCACCTCTACTTCCACATCCAACTCCACCATTTGCACTACCACATTCACTACCTCCACAACCACTGCCACCACCACCACCACCACCACAACCACCACCATCACCACCACCACCACCACCACTACTACCACTACTATCACCACCACCACCACTACCACCACCTCCTCCAAAACCTCCACATCCACCACCACCTCCATGTTGCCACTGCCACCACCACCACGACCACCTCCACCTCCACAATCGCAATCCCCACCCCCACCACTACCACAACCACCAACCCACCTTCATCACCTCCACTCCATCACTACTACTACCACCACATGATTAGTACATAACACTTTCAACATCATGTCTATTTTAGTCATTATTTACAGTTACAACAATTTTATATTAAAATTTACCAAACGGTTTTGACACTACTTTTTGTACTAACAACACTTTAAAAATATTGTTTACCAAACATGGAGCTACTTTACTTTACAGCTAATTATTTTCAAAGTACAGCGGAAGAAACTTTTTTTAAAAGTGACAGCAATTCCAAACTAGGCCTTATTTCCTAGTCTATTAGGACTCTATTTCTTTCATTTTTGTACAGATACTGTGTAATTAGGATTTTATCATATTTCCTTGTGTAACCCTACTAGGGTTACAACCTTATATTATAAATACCTTCTTTTGAAAAATGAAATATATATGAAAATTTTCTATCCACATTGTTTGACTTGGCATCAGAGCAGACTTTCTGGTGACCTGTGTGTTGTGCTCACCATATTCTAGCCCTATATTTTTTTCTTCCTGGGTTTGTGTGTTATGTTGTAGTGTTCGTGCCTATGCTGTGTTCATGTCATTCCCGTCTTCATGCATCTGCCGTATTTGTGATTCTGTTGTGTTCCGCTGTGTACTCTGCCGTGTTCGTTGCTCTATTGTATTTGTGCCTGTCTTCATGCATCTATTGTATTTGTGCCTCTACTGTATTCTGTTGTGTATTGTGTCGTGATCTATTGAGTTTCTACTGCAATCATGGGTGATAGCTCCATTGTTGGTGCTGTTGCTGCTGCTTCTACAAATTTATGTGTTTCTGTCTATATTCCAGGTATTGGCTCCAATACTTGGATAATTGACATTGACTCTTCTAATCATAAAACTTATGATGCATAATTTTTTTGATGAGTTGTCTAGTAACACCCGTGACCCATACATAACTAATGCTAATGGCTTGCCCTCTCCAATTACTGGCGAGGCACAATCTCTCTTACTCCTACTTTGTCCTTTTCTCGTGCATTACTAGTTTCTAATATCCATTGTAACTTGTTATCTGTTGGTCAATTACTTAACACACTTAATGCTTCTGCTACTTTCTATCCTACACATTGCTCTTTTCAGGATCTCAAGACTCACGAGATGATTGGGCAAGGTAAGCAGATAAAAGGGGGGTTATATTATTTGACATTGCCTTCTGCACCAATTCATGATCGTGATCGTGTCATTAATACTGCGCCATTATCTTTGTTGTACATCCTCCGACCGATTTTAGCCAACAAAGCCTGATTCGTGTCCCTAGCTTTCTTGAAACCCAAACTACCTTTGTTTTTAGGTCTACATAGTAGATTCCATTGATAGATGTGGACTTTCTTCATTCTATCACTTCCTCCCAAAAAGAAATTTCTATTTAACCTATCCAAATCTTCACAAATACTAATAGGTAATTTTTTGGTATGCATAGAATAAATGAGAATAACATATGTGACAACATGGATTAGAGTGGGCCCCCTAGCTGAAGAAAGCAACTTACTTTTCCAATTGGCAAGCCTGCAGTGAATCTTACTAAGCAAACTGCTGTAAGTGGATCGAGTTACCCTAGAGTGCAAGATATGCATTCCCAAGTATTTTCCTAAGTTGTCTGTTAAAGGGGAGCCATAAATGAAACTGATCTCTTGAGCTAACGCCCTTCTGATATTAGGAGAACAAAATACAGTAGACTTGTCAAAGTTGACAATTTGACCAGAGGCTTGACAAAATAAATCCAAGCACCTCTTCATCATCCTAGCTCGTTGCGTACTAGCTTCAGTGAAAAGGATTAAGTCATCAGCCAAAAACAAATGCGACATAGCATAACCAGTTTGGAAGGACTTAACAGGTTTCCATTTCCCCTATTGATAGTATCAAAGATGATATGAGATGACTTTTCAATGCAAAACACAAAGAGGCAGGGAGATAGGGGATCTCCTTGTCTAATACCATTCTTTGGAATAAAAGGTTGAGAGTGCTAAAATATGAAAACTATGAGAGAATATTTGTTTGTGGGAATTTTCTTTTTATTCTTCTCCTTCTAGGAGGTCATATTTATAATACAACGAAACCTGAATGGGCAAGTAAATAATAAATTCCTAAATCTATTTACAGTAGGAAATCAAGAATTAAAGTAAATCAATTACAATTATAATAGGAATTCTTGGTGTGTAAGGAAAGTAAGTCAATATCCACAAGTCACGCCAACATTCCCCTCACGTTAGTGCATAGATGTCGCCAATGCCCAACTAATCTAGTGAATTGTGGAATGCTTTACTGGAAATCGCCTTTGTCAAAATATCCGCTAATTGATCCTCATATTTCACAAAAGGAAAGTGAAACACTTTAGCCTCAAGCTTCTGTTTGATGAAGTGTCGATCCACCTCAACATGTTTAGTACGATCATGTTGAACTGGATTCTATGCAATGGCTATAGCAGCCCTGTTGTCACAAAAGAGATTCATTGAGGATGTAGGTTTATACCCAAGTTTAGTAAGCAACTTTCTTAACCAAAGAAGTTCACAAATCCCTTTAGTCATGCCTCTGAACTCGGCTTCTGCACTGGATAAAGCTACTACATTATGTTTCTTACTCCTCCATGTCACCAAATTACCTCCCACGAATGTGAAGTAAACCGATGTGGATTTTCTATCTGTTACATTACCTGCCCAATCTGCATCTAAATAACCATCAATATTTAGATGACCATGTTTTGAGAACATAAGTCATTTTCCAGGTGCAGACTTCAAATATCTAAGTATCCGAAGAACTGCATTCATGTGGTCTTCACTTGGAGAATGCATAAATTGACTGACAACGCTCACCGCATAAGCAATGTCTGGTCGAGTATGTGACAAATAGATCAATCTTCCCACTAACCTTTGGTATCTTTCTTTATTAGTTGGAACTTGATTCGGATATTCTCCAAGATGATGATTCTGAACAATAGGAGTGTCCACAGGTTTGCAATCTAGCATTCCTGTATCTGTCAACAAGTCCAAGACATATTTCCTTTGAGAGAGAAATATACCTTGCTATAATCGAGCCACCTCAATTCCCAAGAAATACTTGAGTCTACCTAGATCCTTCATCTCAAACTTAGTAGCCAAATAGTCTTGTAGTTGTGATATTTCCTATTTATCATTCATAGTAATAATCATATCATCAACATAGATTATTAATGCTGTTACCTTCCCTTTCCGATGTTTCAAGAACAGAGTATGATATGAGTTACATTGTTTGAAACCATTGTTCTTCATTGCCATGGTGAACCGTCCAAACCATGCACGTGGTGATTGTTTCAGTTCATACAATACTTTTCGTAACTTGCAAACTGTTCCAATTTGAGTAGTATTATATCCAGGAGGAATGTCCATGTACACCTCCTTCGTGAGTTTGCCATGTAGAAAAGTATTCTTTACATCAAACTGGTGTAGTGGCCAATCCAAATTAGCTGCAAGGGACAATAAGACTCTGATGGTGTTTAACTTTGCAATTGAAGCAAAGGTTTCTTCATAGTCTATACCATAGGTCTGTGTGTACCCTTTTGCCACAAGTCTAGCCTTGTATCGCTCAATAGATCTATCTGCATTGTGTTTTATAGTAAACACTCATCTACATCCGATAGTCTTTTTTCCTCGTGGTATAGTCTCCAATGTCCAAGTCTTATTTTTCTCAAGAGCTTTCATTTCCTCTTTTATAGCTTGGACCCACTTAGGATCTTTCAATGCTTCAAATACCTTGCTTGGAATATGGATAGCAGACAACTGATGCACAAAAGCCTTGAGTGGTTCAGACAGCTTCTCAGTGGATACATGATTTGCAATTGGATACTTAGATGTCTTGCCAATATCAGGTGAATAACGGTTTGGTGGCTTCCCACGATTTTGCTTGAAAGGTAATTGATATCCAATAGTTTTATCCTCTAAATGCACAAGTCTAGTAGGAGTAGTTACCTTAAGGATATTCTCAGGAGATTAGTCTGTTGGTACTGTTGAGTTAGAGAGGGGGTCTTCATCTTGTTGTTGTTGGCTGCGCAAATCTCACGGCCTGGTGCTTCGGGCTGAGGGGATGTGCGTTAACACGTGACATCCTTCTTTGGATTCAGTGTGGTTGTGCGCGGGTATGCCAGCACTGTCTACCGTGCGTCGAGATGGTGATGAGGTTTAGGTAGAAGATGGTTTAAATGATGCGCCTGTTTCGAGTTCGACTCCTGATCAAACGATTGTGGCCGAGAGAGGAACTGATCTCGGCCGTCAAGTTCACGGCCTGAGCTACAAGGTCGTTTAATGGTGGTGTTGGTGGCGGGTTTTAGGCAGTGCTCCGGCGTGTTGCTCAGAGAGCGACGGTCGTATGATATATGAGGTGAATGAGATGACAACAGAGGTGGTGCTCCGGCGCCTTGAAAATCAAGGGTCGTACGATATATTAATGAATGAATTTTCTTTACAGTCTACCACTACTCCTAGGAAAGCAAATAAAGGTATTGAAAGTGCATTACAGGAAAATATAATTTGCTCCGTGGGAGGCTTTTGGTTTGGTGTTTGAACCCTTTGAATGTAGTCTTGAGCTTAGTATTTATAGGGAGAGTCTTGGAGGGACAATCGAGGCTGAAAAGACACTACTACAATTTTATTAAACCACGACTCAAAATAGACGATGGGGCACCTTAAAACCGTCGTTGTATTTTAAAAGACGACGATTTTTTAAAACCGTCGTACTATATCATCTTATACGCTACTATTTTGGGTTGATTTTTGAAACACGACGCTTGTCAATTAACAAGCGTCATCTTTTAAAATGCGCTAAACAAAAGGATTTTTAAAACACGACGCTTGTTAATTTCAAGCGCCGACTTTAAAACACGCTAAACAAAAGGGTGGCTTATGAATTCGCCTTCGACCTAAAATTCAGATTTCCCTGTGTGAAAACTTTATCTCTCCCTCCTTGAACTCTTGAGCTCCTATCTCCTTCCTTGAAACCCTCCTGAGCTATCTGAAACACACCCTCTCTCACCTTTCCACTCCTCATACGTACCTACCAGCCATCGACACAGCTACGGCGTCGACGACATCGACACAGCGACGCCGTCGACGCCATCGACACAGCAACGCCGTCAACGCCATCGTTTTCTTCGCATCAGTCATCACCAGGCGCCATCGACGCCATCTTCACAGTCAACGGCGACGATGTCCTTGAAAACAGATCTAGAGACCTTGCGAGAGGGGAAAAGCCTAGAACATTAGATCTGCCATCGAACCTCAGGTGACAGATCAGAGAGACAAAGGAGAAGATGAGCTGGTCTTCGATGTCGCCTGAGGTTCGATGGCAGATCTCCATCGCGCCTTCTTGGTCATCGAACTCGCCATCCACGTCACAGATCTCGCCGTCTTGGTCGTTCTCGAGTTTGATAAAGATACATTCTCCCTTGGTGAACTTTTCAATTATAGGTGAATCCAATCCAGTACGAATCAATTGGTAATAGAATTTCTTTCATTATTTCTTTTTTTTTCGCAGAGCATCAATGAATGGGTTTGATGTCAAGAGTAGGAATCTCTGTTTTTGGTAACTTAGAAACCGAGCACACAGAAACAGAAGGAAATCACGGCCAATTTAGGCCAAAGAAGAAAGAAGTCTACGAATTGGGTTGCTAAAAAAGAAAGAAGTCTACGAATTGGGTTGCTAAAAAACTCTGGTAAGATTATGCTCCTTATCTTTCTCCTTTAGTTTTCTATCCTAACTTCTATTCATCCATGTAATTGTATCTTGAGTTATTATGTGAATGATGAGAGGGAAATATTCATCATATTTCTCCATCATATTGATTAATTTCTCATACAAGTAGCTATCTAGGTTTTCCAAAATAGCAAAATAGAAATGGAAAGGTACAAGAGCTAAAAAAACTGTAAAAGGTAGTTTAGGAATAAATTAAAGGAATGGGACTAATAGACAAGAGGATTGAGAATACGACTAATAGACAAGTCTTTCTCAAAAACTATATCAACAAAGCCTACGAACTCTCTGTTCTCTGTAAAGTTAATATAGCTTTGAATCACACCCACATATGGATAAGCTGGGATGTTGTTCGAACTTTTTAATTTAACTCTGTTATGAAAAATAAAAATTCATATTCCGACAAGTAATTGGAAACCTATTCCATGTTGGAGTCGGCTAATAGATGCACACATTATTTATAAGCAAGGGCACCCCATTCTACTTTCACGCAAAATTTCTGTCAGCTATATACTTCATTCCTTTTACACAAATTTGATCTCTCTCTGCTCTTTAATTTGCTCTCCTTTGTTGTCTGCCCATGGGTTTGAGAAAAAGTATACTGATTTTCTTGCTCATGTTGGCTTTCTGTGGCATTTGTTTCGGTGCTGTGTATAGAGTTGGTGAATCCAATGGGTGGACTTCTAGAGGCCTTGTTGATTACAATGACTGATTTGATATGAAACAAAAACACAGCGCATGTCTGATTTGATAAGTTTTCAACTTGCAATTGTATTATTATTTTTTGGTACAAGCAGATCCAGTTTGATGCAATAATTTTGTATCCAGTTTCCATTGCAGGTTTTTGGTCAGAATTAAGAAGGAAATTGTTTGGAATGTCAGGCACTAAGAATTCCTTTGTAGCAAACTGATAAAGACATATTGAAATTGGTTTTTTTTCAGGTTAGTTTCCTCCATATCAGTCTATTTTACTTTTAGTTTGGTTTTGAATTCATCAAATGCAGTGTTGTTTTCCTTTCCTTTACCAGTAAGTATATACACTATGTTGAAAAAAATTTAAAAAGGGAGTCGAGCCTCTAATGTTTGAGTGAGACCACCGTGTATATATGTATCCTTTGGCTTATAATTGTTATATTAATTGTGGAGGAGTTTAGGAGAGGACATAGTGGATTTGACAGAATATCTTGAGATCAGAGGATATCATTTTATCCTGTCTTTGAATTGTGATCTTTCACATTTCTAAACACACAAGTTTAAGTTGTAAATTGTTTTTGTAATGTGGTTTTTCATTTGTTCTTCTGTGTCAATATTGATTTCGAATTCCATTAGTTTTGCTATTCTTCCTTTTCTGTGGATAAAAGAGATTTATACAACTTTCATTTGTCTGGATTTTCGTTTGGGTTTTCATTGCTTTGGATTTTCTTTTCTACCTTCTGTCTCTACAATTTGTTTGAGTTTTTATTACTTTTGGCCTAATCCAATTGTTTTGATGTCAACAGCAATGTGAAGGATAACATTTGACGATGGGCAAAGGCTAAGGACAATGGATAGGCATGTAAAATGGCAGTTTTTCTTTGAGAGATAATAAGATCCAGCTGGTAGCTCAAAGACCCAGCTGGTAGACAACTTAGAAGAAATATAAGATCCATTTGACAAAGATGACAGCTGAATGTGGAGAACAAGTACAAATTGTGGAAGATACAACAACTTTAGGTTAATGCTTTGGACATGGTATTTTGTAATTATAGGATATAATGTTATAGATATGGTATTTTGTATGGATATAGTAGGAATCAAGATTGGTAAACAATGTAATTACAATTGAATCTTCCAAGTTTTATGAAATAAATAATTTTTTAGTATATATATATTGTTTAGAAAGCATTATGATTGTTTTTCTAGTTAAAATCGTTGTAGGGAATTGTTGAAAACTTAAAAAAAGAAAAAGAAAAAAAAAGAAGCTAAAATGAATTCAGTACGTCATTTTTACAGATAATAAACGACGGTTTTATTAGACAAACCGTCGTCTTTACATGTAATAGATGACGGTTATTTGAAACAACCGTCGTTTTTACATATAATAGACGACGGTTATTTGAAAACCGTCGTCTTTACATATAATAGACTACGGTTATTTTGAAAACCGTCGTCTTTACATATAATAGACGACGGTTCTTTTGAAAACCGTCGTCTTTACATATAATAGACGACGGTTAATTACCGCGGTCGCGAGGCTGAGAGGATTCTGCCTTCGCAGCTTTTCTTTTGTTTTCAGGAAGGCAAAATGCCTAACGAAACGTGACCGTTTCAGTTCATGAGTAGGTGCTAGGGCCGAGAGGAGGTCCCTTCGGTCAGTTTATGACCGTGATTTATTAGGCACAAACAGTTGTTCTTTATTGTCTGTAGGTGTGAGACTCGGATCAGAAATATCTTCGCATGGATCAGGTGGGTCAGGCAATTGATCTCTATGAATGGGCGATTGATCGCTTGTCGGCAGAGAGTAATCTTGTGCTCCAGACTCGGAACGATCGATCATTTCTATACATAGGAGAATTTCTTCGTTTTCTAAGTTGCTCCAATTCTGCTCTTCACTTCGTATCTCCCCCTGAAGCGTAGAATTGGATGATGGGTCATGGAAGAACAACTCAGATTCCAGAAAGGTCACATTCAAAGTGACATACGTACGTCGGGTAGGAGGGTGATAACAGTGGTAGCCTTTTTGATGAGTGGCATAACCCACAAAAACACAACGAAGCGCACAGGGATTAAGTTTGCTACTTTGATTTTTGTGGAGATGAACGAAAGCCACACATTCAAAGATTCGGGGTGTGAGTATCAAAACAAAGGGCAGAGGTTTGTGTTGTGCAAGCACCTGTAAGGGAGTTTTAAAGGTCAATACACCAGAAGGCATGTGGTTGATCAGGTGAACTACGGTGACAATAGCATCATCCCAGTGATGGCGAGGAACATGAGCGCCAATCAGAAGTGCTCAGGCGGTTTCAAGAAGATGTCGATTCTTTCGTTCAACAACACCATTTTGTTGCGGTGTCTGAGGACAAGTCGTTTCATGGATAATTCCATGTTGTTGGAACTAAGTTTGAAAGTCATAATTGACAAATTCTCCACCATTGTCTGAGCGAGAATATGGATTTGAGCATTAAACCGAGTCTTCATCTGTTTGTGGAATAACTGAAAACGGAAAAACACTTCATTTTTATTCTTCAGCAAATAAAGCCATGTCATCCGTGTACAATCATCTATGAATGTGACAAACCATCGAACACCAGAAGGAGCAGTGATAGGTGAAGGTCTCCACACATCAGAGTGAATTAACATAAATTGAGTAGTACACTTGGTCGTACTCAACAGGTAGGGCACACGGTGACTCTTAGCCAAAATACAAGTATCACATGTAAAGTCAGAGTCCTTGAAACCTGAGAATAAATCTGGTATAAGATGCTTCATATAACTAAAAGACGGATGTCCCAATCGACGGTGCCATAACCAAATTTGTTGTTGTTTGCTATGAAAGGGATGCGTCACATTGTTAGCCACGCCGGGACTGAAGTCATCTACATAATATAGCCCTCCTCTATTAGTACCACGACCAAGAATCTCCTTAGTGTGAATATCCTGAAGCAAACAAAAACTCGAGTAAATAAGTACACAACAATTCAATTGTTCAGTAAGCTGACTAACTGACAACAATTTATTGGATAAAGATGGAACAAGTAAAGTATTAGACAGTGAGAGAGAGGATGAGAGTTTAACAGTGCCAGTCCCTGTCACAGGATAAGTAACTCCATTGATATTTGCAATACAAGTTCGTCAAGGTTGTGTAGTATGAAGAAAATCATTAGGATCAAACGTCATATGATCAGTTGCACCGGAATCAATTATCCAGCCCCTGGAATCAATCTTAGCGGAAGTATGGAATCCATAACCAGTACCATTACTGGTCGTATTGCATTGTCCTCGATCTTTAAGGGTAGCACACCAATCGGGATAGCCATGCAATTTAAAACAAGTCGCAGGAGTGTATCTCGGATCACCATAATATTCGCAATCTGGTCCATGTGTCGGGGTCGTTAGTCGAGAAGTCATAATCTGTGCAGCGGAAGATGTATAGGATACAAGTTTAGTAGGAATTCGGATCGGGATCTGAGTCTGAGTCGGGGTCGGAGTCTGAGTCGAAGTCGGGATCGGGGTCTGAATCAAAGATAAATTCGGGGTCGGGGTCGGGGTCGAGGTCGGAGTCATCATTGAAGTGGGGGTCAAGGTCGTTGTCGGAGTTGGAGTCAGAGTCGAGGTCAGGGTCGGGGTCATCAAAAAAGGATCCTGATTCGGGATCAGATTTGGAGCCAAAGTCTGCATCTGTAGGAGCTGAGTCATCTGGGCACTCAACTCGGCTATGGTTGGTTGAGAAGGAGAGAGGGAGTCGGTGGTGCTACAGCCATGAGGGATGAAAAAATCATCAACCCCCATAGCGGTGGCGGGGGTGTGAAACTAGAGTCAGCAATTCCAAGATCGCCCCTCTGATACCATGGTAAAATATGAAAACTATGAGAGAATATTTGTTTGTGAGAATTTTCTTTTTATTCTTCTCCTTGTAAGAGGGCATATTTATAATATAATGAAACCTGAATGGGCAAATAAATAATAAATTCCTAAATCTATTTACAGTAGGAAATCAGGAATTAAAGTAAATCAATTACAATTATAATAGGAATTCTTGGTGTGTAAGGAAAGTAAGTCAATATCCACAAGTCACGCCAACAGAGAGAGCTTGCCTTTAACACAAACTTGATATCTGACAGAAGAAACATGACTCATAACCAGCTTAATGAAGTTACTGGGTATGCCGATTTCACCAAGGACCTTTTCAATAAACTTCCAATTTAATTTATCATAGGCTTTAGATAGATCAACTTTCCAGGCAATGAAGCCCTTCTTACCCTTAGAACATTTGAACTTATGCATCAATAACGAATTGATGATTGAATTTTAAGTCAGGTACTGTTTCTAATTTGATAGCGGGACCAATTTGGATTTGTGGTTTTTCCTTTCCATTCTACTTTTGAGATTTTCCTTTCAATCACAATTTTGGCTGGATCTTGATTGTGGAGTCAATTACGACCTTTAGATCATCTCATTGAATTGATTGAAAATACGGGATACCTACACTACACTACATTGGATTGCATCACAGCAGATTCCCTAACGCACGCAGGCCAATTAAACTGTCCTTATTTTAGTGTTATTCGGACCATGTATTTTTTTGGCCGTTAGATGGATCGTTGATATTACTTGATGGATACATAGAAGAAAAAATGGTAATATATTTTAAAATTGGATTTTTATTATTATTATATAGGAGTCGAAAAATGAGTATGAGTAGGATCTTTCTATTAACAACTTTGGTTAATTTATACATCGCCCAAATTAAACTACACTTAACTTTCATGCTTGTAATTTGATTAACTAGATACCACAGTTGAGCCAAACATCCAAAGATTCAATATGGTAATGTTACATATGAAAAGGAAGATCCAAATAAATCCAGTTTTATAATACAACTAAAGATAATAACTAAATTATCTGATCAAAGAGATGCAATGGCAGGATATGAGGAACATTAACATGTATAATCAGTGATGAAAGCGACTGGTATCTTGTAGATGTGCACCACAACATATCATGTAGTCTTGTCCCTAGCTTCTTGGCTTCTGATGATATTCTTCTCAAAGATTATGCAAAATAAAGAATAAAAAATTATTATCTATCATTAAAATAGAAAATCATAGATAGCTTAAACACGTGGACATGGACTAATGACATGAGAAAGATAAGGCAAAGAAAAATAAAAAGCAACGCCAATTCATGAAAATATATTAAGCTATACATATATCTTCTACTGATTTTATAGTGACCGACTAGAGTGCTTCGTTGAATTGAAAACATACCTTCTTTTCTTTCCACGTGGACGCTTCATAGACACATGTGGGCTGCTTATACATATAGAGACTCAGGAGCAAACGCTTTTAATTTTGGACACTCATAAACTCTAACTTTCTCCAAGGCTGGAAACTTCAAAGTATAAGCTTCAGAGCAGAAAGATTCAAGTTCGGGTAAATACGAAAGTGTGATATAATTCAATTGAGGAAATGTCAATTCATCCTCAATACTTTCTCCTCCTCCTTCTGCCTCTCCAACAATTTTCTCCATCGCACTACAATTGAAAACATCTATTGTCTCCAGGCAGATAAGAAGTTTGGCTATGTGCGGTGAAAACAAGTATCTCAATTTGTGACACCCCCATACTCGCAGGAATCTGAGGTTTCCAAAGCCTGAGCTAACTTGTAAACCCTTTTCCCATATGTGGCTCAGCATTGGTAAATCACATAACTTCAACTCCCTCAGCTTATCAAATGCTTGAGTAGAAGGGGTTTCCTGAACCAAAAATATCACTTCCAATAAATCGCACTCATATACTGAGAGATCTTCTAGATTGTCGCTAGCACTTGAAGTCTGAAGATTTGTCGGCGTAACCTGCCAAAAGGGTAGAAAAGTAATTGTATAATTTGTTAGCGTTTCAACCATATACATACGGGATGTTATCACATTCTAGAAATCAAGAACGTTGTTTAAAATGAAAAATGAAGTATTCATATAAAAAGAAGAAGATCATTTCACAAGTTACCAGTATTCATATAATGCCTTTGTTGTACTAGTGTAGTTGAGTTTCTGTCAAAAAGATGTCCTGAGACACTTTAAACAGAAACTTGTTCTATCCTTGGTTGTATTATATGCTACCTTATTTGTACGGCTTAGATTAAGCCACATAGTCATTCTCATATGTGTGGCTTACCCGATTCTTGGCTGAGTGATATAATTAGCCTTGACTTCTAATATTTATCATTCCAAGACAATATACAAAATGTGTGCTCAAGAAGCTAGAGAGAACAGGTTTTCTCCCATATCACATTTCTGGATTTTCTAACTTGAGACGTATTTTACAGAAATTCCTTCCTTGTTTATTTGCTCTTTTTTCTCTTGTGCGTGTGTGTGTTAGTTGAACCACAGCACCAAGATATCTCAAATTCCAATATAAAGTTTGGCTTTCCAAAAATTCACTTATTGTGAGGCTTCAAATTAATAAAACATAAATAAATATCTATTTCAGACTTTATCTTCAATGACATCTGTACCTAAGACCAATTTTTACAAAATAGAGGTATCCCTCTCCGTAAGTTATATATGTGTATACTAATATTGAGATGCGTAGTTTAGAATAATGGCGTACCTCTCTATTTACAACCTGAGGCAATATTTGAGTAAAGTTGCGAGTAGATGGACGACTTTGAAAGCATACTAGTGGCGAACATCCAGATCCAGTTGATGATGATGCACCACCTGATTCTTCTCTACCTCTTACATGATCATCACTCGAATTCTCTGCAATTGCAGGCCGCTTTTTGCTTAGTGGTGCAAAACCCAATGTCTTTAATTTGCGACAACGTATCACATTCATATTTCTCACTGAGGAGGACCATGCAAAGGAATAGGCATCAGGGCAAAATCTCTCGAGGTTTGGCAAGTTGTATAGTGTGAAGCTATTGATCAGTAGTTTGGGAAACAAAGTCATCGCGCCACTGCCACCTGTCTCTTTCCCTTCTTCATGGATATTGTCCTCTGTGGAAGCAGCTGCCTGTACTATAGTTTCCATATTTTGACAATACATTATTTCCACGACTTGGAGATTCACAAGGAGCTTGTAAATTTCATAGGGGCATAGATATTTCAGACTCTCACATTCTTGAATATCTAAAGATCTTACATTTTGAAAACCTTGGAATCCAGGTTGAACGTTCTTCCACAAATGCTCAACCTCATTTAAACCATCCGCATTCAATGTTTGTAATTGAGAAAATGCTGAATCATGCCCTTCTAAATCAAATACCACATTGACTACTAGTTCTTCTGACCCGTTCTCGCTTGTCAAAGAGTCCTTTGATTCACTGTTTTCTTCTGATTCTTGCTTGCTTGTCAAATACCCCAAAACAAGTTCCTCTAGATTTGTTAACCATGAAATGCAATTTGAAGGAAATAGTGCCTTACAACTTGCTCCCACTTGTGCCACTTTTGATTTAGATGAGGTTGACCCAGCAACTTGATTGTCATTTCTAGTCTCTTTCACCTTGTTCACACTTTCTTCGTTGGGCTTTAGAATCTGTACATTAATTAATTCTACATAAATAATGAACTTACACATGAGCCAAAAAGAAAGAAATACATAAGTAATGAACTTCCACAATTTGTCTTATTTCCAAATTGCCTTAATTATATTCCCACATCCTCTGTCATAAATTTTGAGAAATAATAATAATCCCCTTTTCCTACCCTCAATTACTATTTACCAATAAACATTTTTAACTCTAAGGACATCTCAACCTTAATTTTCCAATGAAAATCATAGGTGTGAAGATTTAGAAATATAATCCCCTTCTATTAAGGGACATTCTAAACACACTACAAATTGTTTTTCAATTATCCAAACTGCCTATTTCTCAAGTCTATATTCATAGATTATACTTACAAAAAATTAGACAATTCGGAAACCATTTCGATATCTAATTATGTTCTACAAAATTGATGAATACGATGCTTCAAGAAAGTACTAAAATCACAATAATTTAATTGAGCGGTCAAATGATATATGATTCAAGTGATTTTTTCAGAGATAATTTTTTATTAAATATCTATAAAATAGTTGCAAAAAATTGAAATCCATAAAAAATCTCCAACATACCAAAAATGATTAAGTTCTACCCAAATCAACTTCTAGAACTGGAACGACAGTATTAAACACAACAAAAGTAGCATATTCAAAAGAGTAACAAGTATATACCATTCAAGCATCAAAAGTGCATACATACATACCTCATAGGTGGAGTCCCGTTGGTTTCCCGTGTAGAAACCATGGAGCTTTAGTAGAAAATGAAGCTTCAAAAAAGTTAATCTTGGGAAACTTATCCTGTGAGATGCATTATCATCTTCCATTCTCTCCTTTGATATGATATCTTCCACTTTAGCACAATATTCAACATTTAAGCTTTGGAGTTGTACCAAGTTTTGTGCTATGGATACTGAAAATACATATTTTAACTCATCACAATTGTTAATTGCTATGGATCTTAGGTTCATAAAGGAGCGCTTGTCTAGCAGTTTGCCACAACACACAAATTTTAATTTGTGAACATTCTTGAAGGTAGCTGACTCTAAGATGGGGAAGGCAGGTTGACCACCAGGAGTCCAATTCATTCCATTCATAACATACTCTATGTTGTCGTCACACATGATTGATAAAACTTTCAAGTGTTGAAAGCCTCCTTGACCATCTAACTCCTCGATGACATACTTTAAATTGTATGTGTAAAATAGGACTAAGTCTTCAGATTGCTTCAAGAAGTATCTAACTGCTCCAATCTCCAAATATTCCCTTACATCACCACGAAGCATCAAACTATTTTTGAACAGATAACCAGGCATTCGATTCTTGAAACTCTCTTTTTTGTAAGACCAACTAGTATTGATAGATACATGAAATCTTATAGGCTGGCTTTTTAAAAGAAACTCATCATTCCGCAACATATGAACATCATGGATTTTTATGGCTAAGATATTTAAATGATCAGATAGAGACAACACCTCATCAAGGCTTGCCATGCTCGTTTCATCCTTGCTTCCTGTTGCTGGCCCCCAATTGAGAAAGCTTTCTGCCATGTACAACTCTTCTAATCTCCTCAAGTTGGATAAGACACCGTGAGGAATTTCTTCAAGTCCATCACAATCTGTTGCATCCAGCATCCTTAACTTATGAAGATGTCCTATTTCTCTAGGCAACTTATTGATTTGAGAGCGAGCAAAGCTGAGGATCTCCAAATTCTCCAATCCTCCAATAACATGGGATATGTCTCCCAAATTGCAATCCTCTAGACACAAGGTATGAAGGTACTTGGGTTCTCCAAGCAGTAGAGATTTTTCCGAGGCCAAATAGCTTGACATATTCACCTCTAAGAAAGATAAAACCTTGAGTTCTTTCATTCTTTTAAAGTGGTTGGAATATTCTGAACTACTTGAGGAATTTTTCAGTTGCAGAAGCTCAAGTTTGGGGCACTCCAAACCATCAGTAATATTTTCATCCAATTTAACATCAATTAATGAAATTGCACTGCAATGTTCTTGGTTTGTAACTTTTTGTACCCCTGGCCGTCCTCCGCCTCCACCTTCAGCATCAAATGATCTTACCATAAATCTGTGAGGATCTTTTGAGGCAATTGATATAGCAACATCACGAACTATGTCATGCATTTTGATACACTCTTCCTTATGACTATCCAACAACAAATACCTTCTTTTTAGTTGTCCAACGAAAGAATGCACTCTCTTTCTTGCTTTTTCAATCGTATTGACGTTTTCAAAAATTGCTCGACCCAACCCATACCTTACCATATACTCAATCGGAACATCATAATCTTCTGGAAATAAGCAACAAAGTAAAAAGCATGACTTGACTTCATCACTGTCCAATTTATCGTAACTTAGTTTTATGCAAGAATAAACACTGTGTTCCATTCCAGGGATGATTTCTGGGAGAGAATTTTTCAGTTGGTCACGGATAGTATCCCATTCATTCTTGTCAATTGAGACTAGTGTTTTCCCGATGGTTATGATGGCAATGGGTAAACCTTTGCATTCATCTGCAATCATTTTTGCAACATGAAGCAAATGAGGATTATTATTGTCCAAGGATTCACCTACAGTCGCCTTGAAAAGCTCCCATGCTTCTTTTTCATTTAAGGCTTGGACTCTAAAAATGTTGTCTTTGCACCCCATTGTTTTACAAACTTCTTCATTTCGAGATGTCAACAAAATTTTGCACCCTTCATGATCACCAAAAGGGATTCCTACATCCTGTAATTTAACCGCTGACCATACATCATCCAATATAATCAGGATTCTTTTACTCTGCTTGATTCTCTCATGTAGCCTTTGTGCTCTTATAGATTCACTTTCCTCTACCAATTTCATATCTAGTGACTCTGCAATTTCAGTTTGAATTGTCCTAATGTTTACAGTTGCGGATACAGTTGACATCACAACATCATCAAACAGCTTATTTGTTCCTTGTAATCTCTTGATGATTTCTCTGATTTCTCTCACCATTGTGGTTTTACCCACACCTCCCATCCCGCAAATCCCAATTATTCTTGTCTTTTCATTCCTCAAAGCACTAAGCGCATCATTCATGACATCTTCTCTGGATTCAAAACCCTTAAAACCTTCACTAGAGATTATTGACCCCAGTTGTTTCAGAGGTACAGGATTGGCAACATTATTACTTAGTCCTTCGTCTAGTTTGAGATCAAGGGCACATTTAGCAATCTTCTTGGCTTTCCTACTTAGAGAATACCGCGATTTCAAACTTGGGCACCGCCTTTGCATGTTGAGTTTGGTTTGAAGTTCTTCCGCTTCACGAAATATTTTGCTTACATCATCCAGCCAACTCTGAACTTGATCTTTAATGGTTGCACCATTCCTTTTTGCAGCATCCACAGATCTTTGCACATCATTTTTCTTGTCATCAAGCTTTTTAAGTGCATCCTTCAGACTTTCTATGTTAGAATCGTAGTATATTATATAGCTGAGTTGTCTCCCAATTAGTGCCACTGGTTCTTCTACAATTTTAGATGCAATTGAAATGCAAATTTCTTCCATTTTCTGTTGCCTTTTTATATAAAGCAGCCAGAGACTAAGGAAATTCTCAAACCAAATGCAAGCAGTTCAACACCTACAATTTTAATTATAATCAAAAACCCAAACAAACAAATCTCATAGCAATTCTAACTCATAATCTATAAAAACTCTTCCTCCTCCCCCACTAAAAAACTTCTCAAGACACCCAACCATCACAGCCCCCAACCAAAATATATTATAACTTATAATTTAACGTATAGATTTCATTTGGCAATTGTTTCTAGAGGATTCGACTGAAGAGTGATTCGATGCCTCTGTCCTATTTGTTCCTTTTGTTGAAATTTTTTATTTTATTCTTTCATTTCGATGAATTTGGGTTTGATAGCTGGCTGTAGAGGGGATGGGATCTGCTGTCTGCAAATTTGGTGTCCCTCCATGTCCACATGTCCACTCACTTAACCAAAAATTTAACAGTGTTAACTTTGAATAAGGATTTAAAAAATTAAAATTTAAATAAAAAAACATAAATCCAACAGCCACCCCACCCCACCTTACCCGGCCGCAGCAACACCCATCATCTCGTTGATTTGATTTTAAAATTAAACAAAAAATTTCTTTCTAAACTAAACTTTAGTTTTTATTTCAATCACAGCAGGTTCGAGACGATGATTACGAGCGACGAGGGGTGTTTGGGTGGTCTTAGGATTTTATTTACTTTATTTATTGTTTAATTTTTACTTTTGAATTAAAGATAACATAGTTAGATTTGAGGTTAAATAATGGAACATGTGTCAAATAAATCGAGAATGGAACCAAATTTGGTGACTCCAAATAAGCTCCTGGGTAGAAATCATATACATCCATCATCTCAGATTAGCTAAGGAGTGGGACACTAGTAGGAAATATTTTTGCTCACCACTTTAATCAAATGTGTATTCTCACCATCATTCTCAACACTTGACACGTGTCTATAGACTTAATTATAGTTAACTTCTGTTTTGTATTTATGAAATCATGGTTATGCCTATAGACACATGTCAAGTGTTGAGAATGATGGTGATGATACACCTTGGATTAAAGTGATGAGTAAAAATACTTCAAACACTGGTATCTGCAACTCCAGAAAGAGAGAGAGAGAGAGAGAGAGAAGACATGTCATCAGGGAGTGCGAGGGGGTGGGTACTAGGTGGGGGATGCTAAGGGGTTAGGTATAAGAATCAAGTTTTGGGAGTTTTTATTTTTATTTTTAAAATTTTTTTAAGGATCTTTCCTATTCAGAAGGGCAATAGTATACTAAACTCAAACACACTATACGGATGCTAAGAGTCGAACCCAAGACTTTACTTGAGGGAGTAAATACTCCAAACCACTACACTAGTGGGTTCTTTTTTAATTTTTAATTTTAAGCGTTAACCTTTTTGCTTACTTTAAAATTATTTTATTAATATTTATGTAGAAAGGTTAGAACGGACATTTCACTTGTTAAAAACCCAGTCAACTACTAGTTTTCATCAAAATTAACTAACAAAAGGGATGTGATTGTAATAAATGAGACATGTAGGATCTGACTGTAATTATAGCAAACTTTAGGGGAATCTAAGTGAAATTCTCCCCGTTTTAAAATGACCCTAGCTAACAAATCTTGTTAGCAGCTCACATCTTTTTATCTTATACAATCTTATACCTTTCGTTTGTTTCTTTAAAGTTTGGTCTTATACAATCTTATAATTAAATGGAAACATGTTCCAATTATTATTATATATATATATACATTTTTATTTGCCAAGAATTCCAATTATTATATTGGTGTACTTTAAAATCTTCATTGATTTTCTTTCCTCACGGGACGACTAATCTTTTAGGGATATTCTTTTTATAGCATGTTATACTAAATTATCATTCCTATTTGCATTTGGTTTATTACTTTTCAATATTTCATGACCTCGGACTAAATTTGAGCTTAAACTCGCTTAAAAAATGAGTTCAATCGAGCCAATCATAAGCACTTGATCAGTAGATGCTTAGTCAAGCCGAGCTCAAAGGGGCACCTATAAAATAGTTCCACTATATATTGTGTGGGAAATATCCCATAAAACCTAATCATTTTATGTAATCTTTTATGAATATTACCTATATTTCTTAGTAATTAAATTAAATTAATGGCAAGATCATTATTGATAGAAATATTCCTATCAATAATTATATGCTTAAACAATAGTTCAATGAATATGAAATAGAGAGAAAGTAAAAAAGTTAATTGGATTCATGAGGCCTTCTCATTCTCATAGTCAATATAGTTCATAGCCATACAATTGTTAACTGAGTATTGATAGTCCATAAAAACAGGGGCATCTTATGTTTAGTTAATTAGAAGGATTACTGTTGTTTAGTCATTCATGTACAGATACTAAGAAAAGTATGTGTATGCTCGATATAGGGTGAATTTACTAAATGTGATCAATCAATAGTTCTTTTTGTGAAAGTTGTACTTATATGTCAAACAAGAATATTAAATCGCAATAATGCATACTAGTCCTTAAATCTTAGGCACCCTATTTGTCTTATGAGTATGTTGTGTATTATTGGTTTCGTGATTAATCCATACAGGTATGTGAGTGTACAACAAGGCATGCAAAACAACCTAAAGCCACCAAGGGTCAACTCCCTTGCTTGTTTTTAAAGAAGAACTTAAAAATAAGAAAAAATATTTTAAAAACAAACAAAACCCTTTTTTTTTCCTCTCTATCTTCTAAAGGGACATCACCCACCTTGAGGCACCCCTACCCCAAGCTAGGCGACCATACCAAACACCCCCTCCCCCAATCTAACTTCCAGTCACGGCCCCCCACCCTCTATCTTACCGTCGTCTCCCCCATATCCCATCTCACCTAGGGCTGGAATTTTAGATCGATAGACCACCAAACTGACCAAACCAAACCTGTTGGTTCAGGTTTTTTCACTTAATTTGTGGTTTCAGTCAACAAATCGAAAGAGTGTGGAGATATTTAGCTATAAATAGAGAGAGAGAGTGTGTAGGGATATAGTAGTGTAAAATGTGTGCAAAGATATAGTAGTGTAAAATGTGTGTAGAGATAGAGTAGTGCAGAAAGTGGGCACCAGACATGAGAGAAGAAAGAGGAGAGTAAATGCAAAAGAATTGGAGAGAACCTTGGGGAGCTGAGAGGCAAGGAACCAAGGGATTTATAATGTAGTTTTTCCTTTTTCCTCTCTACTTAGTTTTTATCTTTTATTGTAGTTTATTATTGGGTAACTACATATTAGTACCCTAACTTTAGGGGTCGTTACAAGCAACTACCCAACCTTCTAAAATTTTCAAGCGCATACCTGAACTCTTAGAAAACCTACAAATTGGGCACGCCGTTAGTCACACTATTAGAGGGGGCATTAAGTGCTGACGTGGCATGTCGCATGTGGTTAATTTTTTTAATTTTTTTGCTGAAATGGACTCCACATAGACTACAAAATTCATAATACAAATTTATAAATAAACCCAATCCTAGACATGTATTTATAAAAAAACCCAAGCACTATTTAAACATAGAAACACATCCAAAATCAACAATTGTATATTTTTTGGGTGTGTTTATAAATGACTTTTGAGTGTGTGTAATGATGGGTTTTGGGTGTGTTTATAAAGTGTTTTGGGTGTTAGGTTTTTTCATAATTTCAACCCCCATTTTGGGTGTTTTAGTGAAACACCCAAAATATTATAAATTTAAACTAAAATAAAAAACCATAAATTAAAAGTAAAATATTATAAATTTAAACTAAAATAAAAAACCATAATTTAAAAATAAATAAATAAACCATAGCCCCTAAACCCTAATGTTTTATAACGAAAGCATAAATAATAAAATAACAAAACATTAATGGCTCAAACTCCATTGCCACTGCCCAGCTCCTCCCCACTCCCAAATCCATCTCTCTGTCTCTCTCTCTGTCTCTGTCTCTCTCTGTCTCTCTCTCTCTCTCTCTCTCTCTCTCTCTCTCTCTCTCTCTCTCTCTCTCTCTCTCTCCACTTGGAAGTCCATGTCATCAAAATCTGGGTCCCACATTTGCCACATCAGCATTTAACGGATTTTCTGACGGACTCGCTAACGGAGGGGGCAATTTGTAGGTTTTCCGCGACGTAGAGTATGTACTTATAAATATCCCCAAAATTGGGTATGAACTCGTAAATGACCCTATAGGTTGAGGGGTTTACTGTAGTTTACCCATTTAAAAATTAAACAGTTTTTTAAATTAATTTTTTAGTTTACCTAGGATCTTCATCAGCAAAAAAAAAGGGACACACTATTACCACATCATCATTTAATGGAGCTATTAATAGTTTGACTAACAACGAGATTTATTTGTAAGTTTTCCAAGTGTATAGGTATGTACTTGAAAATTTTAGAAGGTTAGGTACTTGCTTTTGTAACGACCTCTAAAGATTGGGTACTTATACACAGTTTAGCCTTTATTATTTTATTTATGTCTTGTTAAATTCTGTTAATGATGAAAACCATCATAAAATTAATTTCTAGTTTTTATCTTTTAATTTCCAAATTATATTCTTCAATTTTAATAATTTTGACTTTACATTTCTTTTCACCAATTCTATTGCGTATTTGTGATAGTTAAGAATTTGCGTTGATTTATTAATACATCCATGGATTTATGTTTTTAGTATACAAATTTCTTTGATCTCTTGTCATTCAAATAACCTTTTTCACATGGGATGCTTAGGAAACTTTGATCCATTAAATAATTTTGTTTACATGTGATGCTTAGAATTTGATTTATACTAACGAAGGAAAGAGGAATAATTTACAAAAGATTTGTTAAATTGCATGCTTAATTGATATATTTTGAGAAAGAATAGATTGATTTCTAAATTGCTACTCCATGGGAATTGATAGGTAAATAATTAAAGTTTTATGGAATAGTGGTGTGAATTCTAATACCTTAGTTTATTGTCATTTCCATATATGCTTTATTTAATTATCTTTTCAACCAAC